CCATGGACTTTAGTGGCCTAATGCCCTGTACATTTTAGATACCTATAAAAAAGTGTTCACTTTTTAAAACTCTGAACTTTTTTTTGCTGTTTTTAACTTTGTCATTAATAAGGCCTATTTATTTATCTATTCAGCTTCCTTCAAGGTGACCTCCCCATAAATACGGAATGAAGAATGAAGGGCCTTGTGGGCAAATTTTCTGTGTATTTGAGTTTCTTCTGCTGTGTTAGTGGTACTTAAATAGATGGCCCTTGTTTTTATACTTCAGTGGCAAGCACACTGCATTGTAGTAACACTTTCAGAAATGCAGATGCCTGTCTGCAAGCTTCACTCTTTTTGGGGAGAGGGTGGGGTGTTTGACAAAAATGCTCTTGCATGTGTTCACTTTCACTATGTAAACTACTGTATAGACAACTATGATCAATATTCTTACTTAGTAAATAAATCTGTACTTACTTACACACTAGGCCTTTTTGATAACATTATTCTTAGTAATAACTTCTGATAGAATCTTTAACAAGATTTGAAGATAGCTGAAGTAAGTAGCTTCATAACAACACTTTAAATGTCAGCTTTACCACCTGCATAAGTAGGTAAGATGAATACAAATTGTTATTTCAGTATCCTATATGCTGTATTAAAGCATACATACATCATACAGTCACGTCTTCAAAAATCCACAATGATCGAACCATTGACCACATCATTTTGTATGTCAATGTATATTTCCGTACAGGATTCCATAAATTCAAATGACTTACATCTGGTCAGATATCTCTTTGTTGCTTGTTCATAAAACAGATGCTAAATACATGTTTATTTTCTTTTTCTGTGTAGAGCCTCCTGCTATATGGCATGTTATGAGGTTTTCTGGAATCTTTTAGTGAACTAGCTTTAGAAGAAGAAAGCTTAGAGAGCAGAGGCAGATATTGCTCAGTTTTTCATGTCAGTTTGGCTTTAAAAGAGTAATGTTTCCACAGTTGTTGGAATCGTGATTCTGAATCTGAATGCACCAGGTGCTCAGCCACTGAAGATTGACTTCTTCCCCATTGTGTGGTTTCTGTGATGAACTGCCTCTCAGAAAGAGCTGTACACAGTACAAAGGCAAGAGAGGGAGTCTCAATGCTAATGAATCTTTTTCTTTTTTCTGAAACTGTAAAATCAAAAAATATTCATCTTTTGCCTTTAAAATAGGGGAATTCATGTTGCTCCAAGAACCTCTTATGTAAGCATTTTCAAAGCTACGAACAGAGTGCAGTCCCCTGACGGTGTGTGTTGGTTGCTCTGTTAAATTATAGCATGCTGTGGGTGGCTGTAGATATGACACACGGCTTTTTGTACATAAATAACTTGAGCATTACTGTCAGAGTGTAGCCTCTCAATAGAAGTCTGTGTATGTCATGGTTTTTAAACTGAGTGTCTGCTTATTGTGGTTATGTGATTATTCTCTTCAAGAGGATGTTTTTGTCCTCTCTGTCTCTTTCAGCTAGAATTAAGAAAGGCAAGTGAGAAAGTAAGGCGATGAGTTTATCCACATAGCTCTGACATTAAAAACCATAGTTCAGGATAGTGAAGCATCCCAGCACAGTTCCCTCACAGTGTATGTTGAGTTTGGGGAAGATACCCAAGCCCACCATGCACAGGAATGTCAGGATCCCTGCCACGTGCTTGACTAGGTTCTGCTTCTAACTCAAAATGGCCTCTTCCAAGTTAGTTTTTAGGCAGGGCTCTTTGAATTCAACTCTTTACCTGAGGATAGCCTAATAATTCAGACAGACTAAGCATTCTACTATAAACATGAAGAAGAGTATTTAAAAGCTGTTGGCTATATTTTTGCTATTGTTTCGCCAAAGCATCTAGATAACCTGTCTCATCCAAAACACAGTTGTGATCATCTAGAAAAGTAGGGTTACTTTTCACAACAAACCAGGAAGTAAAGTGGATGGTACAGAGAACATAATTCTCTGTGAATCAGGTTCCTACATATGTAATTTAATTTCCTATTAAAAGATGACTGCGCTTACAGTGTTAATTACAATATGTAATGTGTAATGTTAATTAGAATGACTAAGGCCTAAAAAGTAGGAGCAGGAGCACACAGATGGAACAGTTTATTTGTCACTAAGTAGTGGTGTAGAAGAACCAAATAAAGTCTGGTATTCTATGTTCTACCAACAGAGAAGACCTTATAAGCAATGCAAAAGCAGTTTGCATAATGTTAAAATCTCAAGTGAATTTCATAATATACTTTGTAGAAAATGTGTCGACACTCCTATCATTGTCTGATACATAAAATGCCTCCTCCTACAGGAATATTAATTGACTTTGAGATTATACAAATGAGAGGAAATACATTTTTGTGATCAAATAAATTTTTCATATACATTCTTCTGCTAACTTTAATTTGTTACTTAGCATTTAATTTTATTTGTGGTTTTATATTTGGCCTTTCAATTGTATTTTTTCCTCAAACAAGGCCTTCAGATATCATTTGAATACAAATTTACATGATATTTCAGATTGTGAAATCCTTAGGGTCTTTGTAACTGCATTCCATTTTACCTTGTCTTTCACAGGTCATTGAAACCATTTAGTATAATGAATTTTGAAGTGGTTATCATTGTTCATGAAATGGATGAAGCAGCAAATGTGTTTTGCTCAATGAGTGTTGGGAGGAAAAGGAACATTTGTCTGATTTTCATCAGTTGTGCATTGTCATGTGTAGATATTGTGATAAGAAAATGAAAGGAAGTGGAGAGTCTATGGTTCTGAAACATAAGAGAAGGTGTGTAATGGACACTAGAGTCAGCTGGGAGCCCTGGTAGCTTAGTGCCTGAGGCACGTGACTGCTAACCAGAAGGCTGGCTGTTCAAACCCACCAGCCACTCCTCTGAAGGAAGGTTGGGCAATGTACTTCCGTAGTGATACCTCTTCAGAAATCCAAGAAGGGTCACTGTGAATCAGATCAAACTCGATGGCACATAACAACAACAACAAGATTCAGCTGGGAGAATCAACGATCTAAGATGTCTATTGGATGCAATGAAGGATTTAAAAGAAGATGAAGTAAAAAAAAAAAAAAATAGTGGAATTGAATGTCTGGACATTCAGTGTTCTTAAATTCAATGTAAAGGAAAGATACTGAAAATAATTCAGTGTTATTAGTAGTATGCTAGTTGACAAGTTGTTGAGATACAGCTTGAGTATAACTTGAGAATTCTCCCAGAGTAAAAGAGGTCAGAGAGAGGGGAATGTAATAGGATATTCTAAGAATATGTATAACGTATCGTTGTATAAAGTCAATGATCTGTGTCCCCCCCACCCCAAAATAAGTCATCTTAGCTCTCTCGTCTCCTTATGACTTCTTCCTTACTATTCCTTAGAATCTAAGGCTTCTATTCTGTACAATATCTCACATACTAAATTCTGGGTTTAAAGCTTCTCCAATTTTGTCTCCTTCTTCACTATTTGTTTTGACCAAGTTTGAATAAAATTTCTTCACCTCTGCTCCCCTTTGACTTTGATGATATTCCTTTTCCAACTTTCAAGATTTTTCCTACAAAGCTCTCCTTTATCTTCAAAGTTCTGCCAGATTATTTGGAAGCAAAAGGCAAGCTTCTTTCTAATCATTTTTCAAATATATTTTATTATATTTCTGAGAAGAAAGGTGAGCAGAATTTCCAGGGAGATGATTGTCAGAGTCCCAAGAATTATTAACAAGCAGAGATTTAAAAGAATATCTATGCAGATAGGGATTGCATGGCTTGAATTGACATGCAAGATGTTTACACTGTGTGCATGAGGGAAAAGAATGTATTTTTCTATTTCTAATATATACTTACATATTTATATATTATATATATATATATATATATTTATATAATATATATTATTTATTCGGAAGGAAGGTTGGGCAATCTATTTCCGTAGTGATACTGCCTCGGAAACCCAAGGAGGGGTCACTAGGAGTCGGGTCCAACTCGATGGCACATAACAACAACTACAACAACAACAACAACAATAAATATATTTATATTTCAGTGTTTTCCAAGTTTGAAGAAAAAATATTATTATTATTAAGCTTATTTTAATGGTCAAATAGTGTGTGAGTTAATAGAAAGAGGGTTGGCAGATTGGCAGCAGAATAGACACATTTTAGCTTTAGATACTTAGGACTTGTACTCTGTGTCATACTGTGGAAGTTTTGATTCCTTATAGAATGTGGAGAAATAATTTAAAAATAAAGCCATGGGATGTTGTAAATCTTGATCCATGAGTCTAATAAAATAAAAAACTTATAAAAGTATTACTTTTATAAAAAATGGTCTCTTTTTTATTCCCCCAAATTGCAATTGTATATTTGCTACCTAGAAGCTCTGGTGGCATAGTGCCTAAGCCATTTGACTGCTAACCAGAAGGCTGATGGTTCAAACCCACCAGCCACTCCTCAAAAGAAAGACTGGGCAATCTACTTCGGTAGAGATACTGCCTTGGAAACCCAAGGAGGGGTTGCTATGAGTTGGAATTGACATGACATCAGTTAGTTTGGTTTGGTTTGGTTTAGAAGGCAAGTTTATCTCAACTTCTCTGAATATACATAGAAACAGATAATTATTGAAATAATTAGAATCCAAATAATTTCGGATTTTTAAATTAAATTCAGTAACATGGAAAACTCTACAGTATATTTCCAAGTAACTCTCTCAATTATGTAACAATAAAGACCATAAACCCATAAATTATTTTTGTATAATCATCAGTCCAAACTCTTGCTAATGATGCTACATTTGATTCCTTTTACATTTATTTGTAGGAATAATTATAAATATCATATGATAATAGTTATTTAGAATTTATTCCTTATCTTTCTATTTTAAAGAAGAATTTGTATTATCCTTTTTTTGTTTAATTTTACATAGATAATTATTGTGAAGATGGTAAATTATAACAGTAACAAATTTATTACTGTGTAAATGTATATATATTCACTGCTTTTCTAGGTGAAGACCCTGAAACAAGAAGAATGAGAACAGTTAAAAACATAGCAGATTTGAGGCAGAATTTAGAGGAGACTATGTCCAGTCTTCGTGGGACCCAGATAAGCCACAGGTTCTCAATTCTGCCTATCTTTGGTCTAATAAATTTAAAACAATACAGTCAAGAGTTTAATGTTTATTAATGATGGAGAAAGAATTTCAGTTGTACCTTACTCTTTTTGCACTTAAATTTTTATGTGCAGTCAACTGATGTCTATCCTTACACTAAAAACTTTCACACTATTCCTAAGGTTTTCTTTTTTTACTCCTATCCATCTGGTAGATGTGATTTCTTACTCAAACTAAATTAGGTACTACAACGACAACAATAGGATGCAATTTTAGGTAATGAAATGTATTTTTCTTTCTGCCCTAGAGAACTTAGTAGAGGTTAAAGTAGAAATGCTTCTGGTAGAGTTGGTAGGGAGATTTTCAAACATAATTGTTGCTCATTTCAAGAGTTATGTGTAGGTCACATTGGATTAAGTTTTAGAGGGTTTGTTGAGAATATGAAATTCCATTTTCTTTTTCCTGAAATTAATGATAGCCTATCTTTTGATAACAAAAACCAACAACCAGAAAACAAACAAGATGATTACTCCTTCCCACATTTTGACACTTGCAGAAGTGATTAGCATCTCGAAATAAATGTTTAATTTCCAGAAAATGACATACTTCTAAGAATTGACTCTCAACTCCAGCCTTTCCTGTCTTTATACTTTCTTGGTCTATGACCTCTAGTAAACCACAGTACATTAATTTCTCCATTTTACTTGACAGCACTCTGGAAACGACATTTGACAGTACTGTGACAACAGAAGTGAATGGAAGGACCATACCCAGCTTGACAAGTTGGCCTACTCCCATGACCTGGAGGTTGGGCCAGGCTTGTCCTAGACTTCAGGCAGGAGATGCACCCTCTCTGGGTGCTGGTTACCCTCGCAGCAGTACCAGCCGATTCATCCACACAGATCCTTCAAGGTTCATGTATACGACACCTCTCCGTCGAGCTGCTGTTTCTAGGCTTGGAAATATGTCACAAATTGACATGAGTGAGAAAGCAAGTAGTGATCTGGACATATCTTCTGAAGTTGATGTGGGTGGATATATGAGTGATGGCGATATCCTTGGGAAAAGTCTTAGGAGTGATGACATCAATAGTGGGTGAGTGGCTCTGCTCTCTAACAGTATCATATAAAGCAGGAGGCAGTCAACTAAGATGCATTAGTTGTGAAAGGGGCATGCTTAGAGTTAAATTACTAAATGATAAATAATCTAGAAATCTGAAGTTATTTGGGTTACTTCAGGTGTTTTCTTCTGCTCGTTCATGAAAAGTAGAATATCCAGCTTCTTAAAATGATTTTCTTGGTACACCATTAAAATTTTCTATTGTTAGTTTAAAGAAATGCCTCAGGCCTGTGTTTTTTTAAAGTGTTTCTCACAGACTTCTTAAGTAACAAACTTTTGCAGTGAAAGATGTGGGAAGGAAACAGAAAGTATTGCTGAGCTGCTCAATTTTTCTTCCTTGGCTTGTCAGAGGTGCCTGTAGCTACTTTGAGGAACAAATACTTTTCTAGCATTTTTCATCCATTCACCTCCAATTTAACTTGAGGGAAAAATCATTGTAGAGTTAGGTGTTTTAATCTCTTTATTCTCCTTGGATGGTATCAGTTTTTTGTTTTGTTTTATTTTGTTTTTAGGTCCTATTTTCTTTGTTTCCTATTATACTCTCAAAAATGTTGTGGTTATAAATTCTTAGAGTGTTTTAGCAATTTGGAATATTGGGTGGTCTTATGAGCTTGGGCCTGGATGTTACAATAACTCCCTGCCTTGGAGTCGGATCTGACTCATAGCAACCCCTTCCTTGGGTTTCCGAGGCAGTATCACTACTGAAATAGATTGCCTCAACCTTCCTTCTGAGGAGTGGCTGGTGGATTTGAACCGCCAGCCTTCTGGTTAGCAGTCAAATGCCTTAGAAACTGTGCCACCAGAGTGCCTTACTAAGATATAAATGCCCTCTTTTCCTTCCCTGCCCTCTGTCTTCTCCTCTCCCCTCTCTCTCCTCTCTTTCTCCACCTGTCTTTACTTTCTCTCTCTTTAAATGTGTGCTTATATGTATTGTTGTTGTTGTTGTTATGTGCCGTCGAGTCGGCCCCGACTCATAGCGACCCCTCCTTGGGTTTCTGAGGCAGTATCACTACAGAAGTAGGATTGCCCAACCTTCCTTCTGAGGAGTGGCTGGTGGGTTTGAACCGCCAGCCTTCTGGTTAGCAGTCAAGTGCTTTAGCCACTATGCTACCAGAGCTTATATGTATAGTCATTTTTATTTTCACTATTCAAAAACATTAGGATGAGACTTAAATATATATACATCTTAAATACACACACCACATGCACACACACACAGAAGATGCATACCCAGGGAGCAGTTTAAATCTGAACTCAAGGGACCACCACAATTCAATGTGTAATATAAAAAAGTTCATATAGATAAAAATTGAGCTAAGCATTCAGATACAAAGAAAATGCTAAATCCAGACATCAAATGGAAAAGATTGAGTAAGAAAGGGAATTATTTGGTATACAATTTGATTTATGTTCCTTGATAACAATAACTAAAACTGTATTATTTTAAAAGAGATAAAAATTTGTAATCAAATTACAAATATTGTGAAAGGTAAAAGTCATTGATTAAGTTTGAATAAAATACCATTTTTGGGATCAGATTAGATGAATTCAGTCTTTCCCTTTAATGAAGATTTAAAGATAAGGTATGAGAGAGAAGGTTCACTGTGACTGGTCTCAATATCATTATGCTAAGAAGTTTAAACTGTGTGCTATAAGCAGTGGAAAGCAGTTATTTTAGTTAGAGGAGATTATATAATATTCACAGAGCAGAGCATGGTTTTAAAAAGACCAGTTTAGGAAAAGCATGCAAAATAGAATGAGAGATGAACTCTGGTGTAAATTTCAGACACTATTGTAACATCCTGGAGCTCTGGTGGTGTAGTGCCTAAGGCATTTGACTGCTAAGCAGAAGGCTGGAGGTTCAAACCCACCAGCCACTCCTCAGAAGGAAGATGGGGCAGTCTACTTCCATCTTGATACTGCCTCGGGAACCCAAGGAGTGGTCTCTGTGAGTTGGATCTGACTCGATGGCAGTGAGTTATTGTAACATCCAGGCCCAAGCTCATAAAACCAGAATTATGGGCCTCCATTGCTGGGGATGTCTAGAGGAAACAAATTTCTGTGGAAGCTAGTATAAAGGAAAAAATTACAGAAACAATGATGGACTCCTCATGAAGGAATAAGGGAGGCAAAGAATTCAAAGAAAAATTAGAAAAACAGGAGACAGAAAAATGATGAAACCATTAGAAAAGTAGGCAGAGAGAGAAAGATGCTTTGTTTGGTAGGAAGTAGAGAGAGGACATGAATATAGTGTAAGAAATGTGGAGCTGGAAAAAGTGAGATGAAAGAGTTCATTAGTGAAAAGCAAAAACAGTGCCAGGGTAGAGTGTCATCATGTGTAGGAGACAGCAGAAATTGTGGGAGGCCTACTAAAGCAGTTGACTGCTAACCAGAAGGCTGGCAGTTCAAACCCACCAGCCACTCCTCAGAAGGAAGGTTGGGCAATCCTACTTCTGTAGTGATACTGCCTCGGAAACTCAAGGAGGGGTCGCTATGAGTCAGGGCCGACTCGACGGCACATAACAACAACAACAAGAAGAATTCCTGGGGAAAGATTGTGGAGAGAAATGGGGTAATGAGCTGAAGGATATACATTGAAACCTGTGAGAGCTGGAACTCAATGGGACTGCTGTATTTTTCCAGGTCTCACAAGTTTCCAACCTTTCACAGAGTACAGTTTGACCAATTTTCTCTTTAGTGAAAAATATTTGAATTTTCTTTCTCTGACAGATTTCTCCTTACACAGGTGCTGGCTTTCACAGGTTTTCCTGTATGTACATATATTTGTATGTGCTTTATTTGCTAAGTTCGTCCTATATGTCAAGCAACATTCTAGGCACTGGGTACACAGTGGTGAACAACATAGGCAGTGTTCCTATTATGTGAGACTTACATGCTAGTGTTTTCGATTTTTTTTTTTTTTTGGTTCTAATTTACTCCAAAAATGAATACTAATGTGTTATTAATATACTATTAATAGGTAAGTAAGCATACATTTCTATATACATTTTTTAAATAAGTAGTCTTTTTAAGGCAATGATTTTAGCAACTGAGTTCTGCATATAATAATACATAGTGCATTTTGTATTTTCCAGGACTCGAGGTATATTAGTTAACACTAAGTTCTGTAACAGACAAATCTCAAAACCTCAGAACCTTAACACAAATAAGTGCACTTCTGACTCACATAAAACCCTTGGTAATATTTCCGATCTTCAGTTGGGAAAGGTGCATCACCCGGTCATTTTGAAACTAAGATTGGTGGTGATTTTGCTGTTATCCACCATCGTTTACAGTGTCACTTTGGTCATTGGTATTCAACAGGCCAGTGGCAAAAGAGAAACAACCATGGGGTGAGAATGTTTGTATGTATGCATACCGTTTCTGCCCAGAGTTCTTACTTCAGAGCAGCCACATGGCTACATCTAGCTCTGAGGGAGATCAGAAAATTCTATTTAGCAATGTGCCTCGGAGGAGGAGGAAGTAGTTTGGTGAAAAGCTGACAAGTCCTTGCTGAACTTGCTAATGAGGAAAAAAAAATGATGTTCTTATATCCTTTGTCCTTTTTACTAATTTCATACCTCAACTAAAACCTGACTCATATTTCTGATATATCTCCTCCATTTCAAGCTCTGGTAACGTAGAGCCTAAGGCACTTGACTGCTAACCAGAACGCTGGTGGTTCAAACACACCAGCCACTCCTCGGAAGGAAGATGGGGCAATCTACTTCCGTAGTGATACTGCCTCGGAAACCCAAGGAGGGGTCGCTATGAGTCGGGTCTGACTTGACGGCACATAACAACAACAACAACAAATATATATATATGGATAACTTTGCAAAGAACAGAAGTTCCAGA